CAGTACCATTACCAGCCCGCCTTGAAAGATGAAATTGAGAAGCAGGTTTCTGAAATGCTGCAGTCGGGTTTGGTCCAGCCCAGTTCAAGCTCTTTTTCATATCCAGTGCTTCTGGTCCGCAAGAAGGACGGGACTTTGCGCTCTTGCGTCGATTATCGCATGCTTAATACAGACGGTCAAGAGCAAGTTCCCAATACCAGTGGTTGATGAGTTGCTCGATGAGCTGTCCCAACTCCCAAGCACAGTGGTTCTGTTGTTTGGATCTGCGGGTAGGTTTCAATCAGATACGGTTGGCGCCCGGAGAGGAGCACAAAACGGCCTTCCAGACGCACTGGGGACAGTTTGAATTTACAGTCATGTCGTTCGGATTAACTGGTGCTCCCAACACCTTCCAAGGCGCCATGAACACAACCCTTTTCCCTCTGTTGCGCAAGTGTGCGTTGGTATTCTTCGATGACATCCTCGTCTACAGCCGCACTCTGGAGGAACATATTGAACACTCTATTGTCCCAGGATCAGTGGAAGGCGAAATTCAGCAAGTGCCGTTTTGGTCAGCAATCAATTGCCTACTTGGGTCATGTGGTGAGCCCTCAGGGAGTGTCTACCGATCCGAGCAAGATCGAAGCAGTGCAACAGTGGCCTGTACCCAGAACATCAAGGAATTGCGCAGCTTCTTGGGGTTAGCCTACCGCAAGTTCGTCAGGAACTTTGCTGTCCTGGCTCGTCCACTTTCCGATCTTCTCAAGAAAGGAACAATGTTTGTCTGGACACCTGCTCATCAGGTGGCATTAATTTGATGCCCTCAAGACCTCCTTGGTTTCTGCCCCGGTACTCGCTCTTCCCAATTTCTCCAAGCCATTTCAAATCCAAACAGACGCCTGCGATTCAGGTGTGGGAGCAGTACTATTACAGGAAGGTCACCCGCTCGCATTTGTCAACAAATCTCTAGGTCCTCGTACAAGGAATCTGTCCACTTATGACAAAGAGTTCCTGGCAATCTTGGTGGCCGTGGAACAATGGAGATCCTATCTTCAGCATAGCGAGTTTACCATATATACCGATCAGCGCAGTCTTATCCATATTACCGACCAGCGTCTGCAAACCCAATGGTAACTCAAGATGCATATCAAGTTAGCCGGACTTCAGTACCAAGTGGTGTATATGCCAGGAGCCTCTAATACCGCTGCTGACGCTCTATCGCGCCATCCTAACCCACCTGCTCAGCTCCAGGCGATCTCGGTCTCCACCCCGGCTTGGTTAGCAGAAGTGGCCGCTGGTTATTGCGCTGATCCTGAGTCCTCAAATTGCTCCAGGAACTCTCAGTCAATCCTCAGAGCTGCCCTCCCTTTTCACTCTACAGTGGCATCATTGGGCACTCGGGCCGCATTTGGATTGGTGCAAACCCCCAGTTGCAGCAATGCATCATTTCTGCTCTGCATGATAGCGCTCTCGGTGGGCATTCTGGTTTCCCGGTAACCCCCACAGCAGAGTCAAGAAGCTGTTCTTCTGGCGCGGGTTAAAGCAATCGGTCAAAGCCTTTGTCGCTGCTTGCTCAGTGTGCCTCCAAGCAAAGCCTGACAGAGCTCGCTACCCAGGACTGCTAACTCCTCTTCCTGTGCCCGAGGAAGCATGGCAAATGGTTTCAATGGATTTTATAGAAGGGTTGCCCACTTCTGGAAACGCCAATTGCATCATGGTGGTGGTGGACAAGCTCAGTAAGTTTGCACACTTCGTTCTCCTTCGCCACCCTTACACCACTCAGAAGGTCGCCCAAGCTTTTCTGGACAAAATCTTTCTCCTTCACGGTCTGCCAACTCATATAATCTCTGACCGTGACCCTATCTTCACAAGCTCCTTTTGGCGTGAGCTCTTCCACCTTGCTCAAGTGAGATTGGCTATGAGTTCAGCATACCATCCGCAGTCCGACGGGCAGACTGAACGCGTCAACCAGTGCTTGGAAATGTACTTGCGCTGCTTTGTTCACTCTTGCCCTCGCCAGTGGCTGAAGTGGTTGCCCCTTGCGGAGTGAGCACTCAGCTCTTGGCTGGTCGCCGTTCCAGGTACTCTATGGACGCTCCCCTTGTCACTTTGGTATTACTGACAAGTCTGCTTCCCCTGTGCCGGACGTGGCTACTATGTTGGCTGAGGGTGTGCCACCATGCTCGCCGCGGTTCGCCAGCATCTGCTGTGAGCACAGCAGCGTATGACGACTCAAGCCGACAAGAAGAGGTCTGAGCGCACGTTCCAGGTTGGTGATTTCGTCTACCTCCGCCTCCAACCGTACGTTCAAGCGTCGCTGGCGCCGTGCTCCCACCACAAGTTGTGCTTCAAGTATTTCGGGCCCTTCAAAGTCCTCGACAAGGTTGGCGCAGTGGCGTACAAGCTGGAGCTCCCTCCCTCGTCATCAGTTCACCTGGTGTTCCACGTCTCACTTCTCAAGCCAACCTCCCCGATCCGGATGACTCAATGAAGGTGCCCGAGCGCGTGCTGCAGACACGGCTCCATCATCGCGGGCATCGTTCTGTCAAGCAGCTCCTGATCAAGTGGTCCAACATTGACGACAACCTTGCGACTTGGGAAGACGCCGACGCCATCGTTCAGCGTTTCCCAGGTGCTCCGGCATCGGGACACACCGCCGCTCAAGGGGGGAGGGATGTTAGCAGGCCACATCCTGGTGATGCAGCCGCAGCCCCCGCTCATGAGTGAGATAAGAAGGAGAGGAGAGAGGAGGAGAAACAACTTTGAACCCTGTACTCATTACATTTCGTGGAAGCAAAGTAGAACCCGGCTCTCTGCCGGCGTAGATTCCTCGTAGTTTATTGTTCATCTTCCTCTTCTCCGGTCAGCGGCTTCGATCGTTGACAGAAACACTGCTGGGAGTTCATTCGGTAAAGTACTCAGAAGAGTCGGCTTGTCACCTCTGCTAGCGTCCGTGGCCATTTTTGACGATTGAAGTAGCTGCAGAGGACAACTTCTTCAAGGATTATTACAACTTATATATACTTCCAAGTTCTAACAAAATAAGCAGCTTCTTGTTAGAAGCACACACCTGGAGAAGAAGACTTGAGGGATCCAAGGGAACAAGATGTGGAGAGAGATCGAAGGACAAGAGCTGCCGAGATTGCTGGTCGACGAAGCTTGAGCAGCTGCGCTAGAAGATTATATATATGGCAACCCGGTGGGATCTGGATCGGGAGACGACCAGAGTTGAGTTGACTGGCGCAATAGGAAATATGAGTACTTCTTCAGCGTAGGTGTGCATGGTGTTGCCATGAAGCTCCTAGTAGATCAGACAAGAATTTTTAGGTGACGTCGGATCCGAAAACAGGCTAGCAAAGTCGGTCAACAGGCGCGTTGTCTACGCTGCGTCCAGGAAGGGAGATTGCTATGGCCTTTTCTCATGTTTTTTTTAGCAACAGGGTAATCTATGCCTTGTACTGTGGTACTGTACATGCCCCAATAGTCTTTTTCAGCAAACCATGCCTCTTTTTTGTTTTTGCGAAAGCTCAAAATGGGATTAGAATAAATCACGCATGGTACATGTCCCAATAGTCCCAATAGTTTTTGTTTTTCTTCACTACCATGGTGCATTGTTTTTTCACTGTAGCAAGAAATAAAATGGCTCTGACTGAGTACCGGACACCTCCATCCATCAAACTAAATTTGGTCCTCTAGCTGGATTCGAACGGATTCAAAGGTTTTTTTTCTACTTTTAGAAGTAATCAAAGTTTAATTTGATCTCTAAAAATTCATACATAATTAATTTTAAATAAAAAAGAAAATACTACAATTTTTTTTCTAAAAATGCTATCTCCTTGTTGGTGCTCTATTTGGAGTAATTTGATATTATTTCTTTTGAATAAATAATGAGCACGACTATATGAGCAATAAAGCGACATGAACATAAAAAATAAGCTCCAAATAATTATAAATACTGTTAGAAGTAAAAGAGCGAGAGATCGAGCGATGCAAAATTAGAGTTGTCATATTCTAATAAATAGTGTTGTACATATATATACTTGGCTTCATGTGGTAGGAATTGCCATTAGTAGTTGCTAATGACAGAGATTAACTCCCAATCGATCGTTAAGAATAATTCTCAACACTCTGTCTTGATCGATTAGATCCTTGTAGGCTTCATTGTTCATCTATTATGCATCACCAGAGACCTTTGGAAAACCTTGTGGAAAAACCCAAAGTAATATCTGTATACCGAAAAAAAACTTCTTAAAACCCAGTGGGAAAAATAAGGATAAACACTATAAAATACAATCACCAATGTTATTAGACCTTTTGAGATAAACCCAAAGTCTTATTATAAAAACATGTTAATCCTATGATCAATATGCCCCAAACATCATCTTCTAAAAATCCCGATGGGGAAAAATAGATCATATCTCTCACAATTAAAAAGAGTAAAGAGTGGACACCGTTTTGGTGTGACATTTCAACGTGGGTCCATGGTTCTGCCTGTTGTGATCCCGCACCCCTCGCTCGTACACCCGTCACTTGCGACAAACCTCGCTCCCTTGATTTCAAAAGGAAGGAAACAAACCGTGCGTCCCTCACGCTCTCTTCCCCTCCGGCTCCCCCGCGCAACATGCAAGGAAATCCATGGACAACAAGGCAAGTCAAATCATCAATCACGTAACAACCGGATGAGCAGTTCCACAGGAAAAAAATCAATCACCCTAACAAACGGAGGAGCAGTTCCACGGCATTAACCCCGCGATCACCGCGCGCCGCCAGTTACGCGATCGCGCCTTGACCCGTGCCCTCGACGCCCTCGGTCCCTCGTCCATCGCCAGTCGCAGCTCTACCTCAGTCCCTCGTCATCTTGCCGTGCTGATCGCCTGCGCCACCACATTCTTGTTTCCAACGTGTCATGACTCGTGAACCGGCGTCGAACCCCGCCGTCCAACCTAGCGCGTTTTTGTTCCTCCGCGCGTCGCCGGCATCGATTTGGCGGGAACGCTCATGGTGGCCGCCGTCCATCAGTGATGGGCGGCCTCTGCTCCAAGGAGGGCATCGTGGAGGCGCCGCCTGCCGCCCCACACCCCGTTGCGCACCTGCAGAAGGCGTCAAGCCAGTCCCTCAAGCAGCTCATCACACTCACCGCCAAGGAGGAGGACGCTGTCGTCGTGCACGCCATCATCTTCCAGACGGAGTCCAACGCCAAGGCCAACGGCGGCATCGTTGCGCCCACTCTGCCCAAAGACGCCATGGAGAAGACCGCGCCTCCCGTGGTGGTCATCACATCCCTTAGCAAGTCCTACAGCCCTGCTGGGGTGCCCACGCACCACCGGTGCACCACGGTGGACATTGGCGGGAACAACAACAGCGCGGCTGCGGACTGTGGCGGCGGCGCGCAGGCGCAGCAGGTGATCTCTAGCATGCCGCAGGGGTTCTTCGGCGAGCACGTCATCGCCGGATGGCCCTCTTGGCTGACGTCCGTTGCCGAAGAGATCGAGAGGGTGGCTGCCCCACCGTGCCGACACGTTCAAGTGGCTGCACAAGATCGGGCAGGGCACGTACAACAACGTGTACAAGGCACGGGACCTGCAGAGCGGCAAGATCGTGGCGCTGAAGTGGGTGCGCTTCGTCGACATGGACCCGGAGAGCGTGCGGTTCATGGCGTGGGACTGCAGGAGATCCACATCCTCCGGCGGCTTGACCACCCCAACATGATAAGCTGGAAGGCATCGTCACCTCGCGCCTCTCACATAGCCTCTACCTCATCTTCGAGTACATGGAGCACGACCTCGCCGGCCTCGCCATGCTGTCCGGGCAGCGCTTCATGGAGCCGCAGGTCAAGTGCTTCATGCGCCAGATCCTCGAGGGCCTACGCCACTGCCACGCGCGTGGAGTTCTGCACCGGGACATCAAAGGCTCCAACCTCCTCAAGTCCTCATCGGCGACAATGGCGTGCTCGGATCACCGACTTTAGGCTCGCCAGTCGCCATCTTCACTACGTGAAAAACGATTTGTAGCAACAGGTCAAATTTTTTGTAGGGGTGGCTGGTGATGGAGCCGCTCCTACGGTGGCGTGCTCGAGAGCCCAAAGACCAGCCGCCCCTACAAATGGAATAGCAGGGGCGGTTGGTGATACGAGCCATCCCTACAAATGGGTCTGATTTATAGGGGCGGCTCACTCACCAGCTGCCCCCGGTGTTTCTTTTTGTAGGGGCGGCTGGTGATTGAGCCACCCCTACAAATGGCCACATATAATTACCTGCTATTTGTAGGGGCGGCTCAATCACCAGCCGCCCATACAAATGACCCACATATAAAAAGGCTGCAGCACATTCTTCCTCCTCGGGTCACTCACTCCAACCCGTGAAAGAAAGGTGGGAGTGCTTGGGCACCTCCCAAAAATTATTCTACTAAGGGGGAAGGTTTTGGTCTCAAATCCTTTGGTGGAGAGGTTGTAGAAGGTAAGAAAATGATATTCCACATTTTTTTAGAAGTTTTAATGGTTGGTTAGTGAATAATTAGAGTTTTGTTTTTCTCTCTCTTCTATGGTGGTTGAGCTACTTATGAAGCAAATTAGACCCAAGTTTTGAATGTACTAGGGTAAATTAGGTAGGGGAACAATTAGTTAATTTTATGGATATTTTATGTGCATGTAGATCTAGATCTAGGGTTTGGTTTTTTTATTAATTTTGTTTTTGTAAATTTATGTTTGATGAAATTGGACTAGGGTTTGCATGAAAGATATTAGGTAAAATATAATTGTTGCTAATTATTGTCTTTGAAATTGTTTATTGTAATCAACAAATATGTATTTTAATTATTTATGGATAAATGGGCCATTAATTAATTTTTCTCTACCGTGGTGTGTTTGTTTGCTTCATGTAATTATATTTGATTTATATTCATATATATATGAAGTATATACAATTATTATCAAGTAATTATTAATTTGATTCATTTTTATATATATCTGAATAAGTAGTCCTTTAATGTTTGTTTTGTTGTTGTTGCAAAAGATGGAGTACAGGAACTCTTGGATGTATGGTTCGTTAAGGTTCAAGGCATGTTTCCATGAAGAGGTGGATAAATTTATTGAAGCTATAAAGAAGCATGCAATGATATTGACAGAAAATAAAGATACAATTATTTGTCCCTATAAAGATTGCAAGAACCGTATGGCTTGGATAGATGTGACTATCATCAGATCACATTTGATTATGCGAGGATTTGTTGAGGACTACACAGTGTGGATTCATCATGGTGAAACGATTATTGTTAACGACGAGGATGAGGAGGAATACGATGATGAAACCATAGAATCTTTGTCCCAATATTCAGCAGAGCTTGATGAATGAATGGATTTTGAGTTTGGCAATGAACAAGGTGGTGATGCTGGTGGGTGGGATGGTAATGACGAAGGTGGTGCCAATAATGATGGTGGAGCACGTGTCGGGGATGAAGATGATTTGGAGGACATGATTCGAGCCCTTGGACCAGAGATTTTACTAAATAGCCCAAAAGATCTAGAAAATTTGGAAACAGTGACAAAAGCATCGAAGGAGACTGTGTATGGTGTTGAAAAGGGCTGTTCGACACATTGGATATTGCTACATTTTGTGCTTGAGCTACTCATCCTGAAGGCTAAGTACGGCTAGTTAGACTGTAGTTTCAATGATCTATTGCATCTCCTGTCATGGGTGCTGCCACAACCAAACTCAGTTCCCGCCAACACATACCAAGCGAAGAAGGTCATAAGTCCATTGACAATGGGGGTTGAAAAAATCCATGCATGCCCCAACCACTGTATACTATTTCATGGCGAAACGTTCAAGTCACTGGATAAATGTCCTCGGTGTGGGGCCAGTCGGTACAAGAACAATGACCTTTATGGTGGGGACGAAGCCTCCACAAGAAAAAGAGGAATAAGAAGGGTACAAAAAAGGTGGTACAAGAATCTCAGCCCCCAGAGGACACTCCATTAGGCAACGATGCAAAGCAGAGAAGAATTCCTGCCTTGGTAATGTGGTACCTGCTAGTGACCGACCGCTTGAGACATATCTTCCTAAACCCTATAGAAGCCGTACTCATGACATGGTGGGATGATGAGCGCAAGATAGATGATGATAAGAGTGCACACCCGACTGATTGTAGTCAGTGGCAAAGGTTCGATGAGAAGCACAAAGAATTCAGCGATGACCCAAGGAATGTACGATTTGGCTTGAGCACCGATGGAATGAATCCCTTCAATGAGAGGATGAGCGACCACAACACTTAGCTAGTGATCTTGACCATGTAAAACATCCCAACGTGGTTGTGTCAGAAGAGAAAGTACCTTCTCCTCACTATTCTTATTTCTAGCCCTAAACAACTAGGCATTGATATAGATGTGTTCCTCGAGCATTTGATGCAAGAAATGGAGAGGCTATGGAGGCATGGGGAGCCGATGTACGATGCGTTCCGAAAGGAGGACTTCATATGTAGAGCAATAATATTTGTTACTACCAATGATTACCCCGCGCTGTTTGCTTTGTCTGGACAGATCAAAGGGAAGACGGGATGCTTAGTTTGCTTGGATGGTACTACATGGGTGTACCTGGATGCATCCAAGAAGATAGTTTACCTAAAGAACCGACACTTCTTAAAGACAAGTCACAAGCACCGTAGCAAATTGTTCTTTAGATTTTATGACAACACCCCAGAGATTAAACCCCCTCTAGAGAGACATCATAACAGAGAACATGTGTACAGAATGGTGAAAAACATACGCGTCATCTATGGAAAGAAGAATCCGGATGGGACGAACAGAGATAGAAGCACACCTCCTGTTGAAGGCGTACTTTTCAAGAAACAATCGATCTTCTTTCAGTATATGCCTTATTGGCCAGACTTGGAGGTCCCCCATGCCATTGATGCTATGCACGTGTAGAAGAATGTCTTTGAGAGTCTCATTGCTACCTTGATGGACACAGGCAAGTCAAAGGATGGTCTAAAAGCATGGAAATACATAGTGCAGCTAAACGTGATGCCACAGCTTCACCCGGTACCTGAGGCTAATGGAAAATATACTTTGCCCACGGCGTGCTTCAACCTAACACCAAACGAGAAGAGAGCTATATGCACTTTCCTGAGGGGGGGGGTCAAAGTGACCACTGGGTTTTCAGCAAATGTGAAGAAGCTAGTGTCAATGAAGGACTTGTCAATAACATACTGCAAGGCTCATGATTGTTATGTGATGCTGACAGTGTTTCTACCTATTGCAATCAGGGCTATAAAGCCAGAGTTCTTGAAAATGGCCATCACCCGCATGTGCTACTTCTTTTTGAAGATCTCACAGAAGACGATTGGTAAGCAAGAGCTGAGTGACCTACATGAATTTGTGGTGAAGACACAAAACCAACTAGAGATGTGTTTACCTCCTGCTTTTTTTGATACAATGCTACATCTCATGATTCACATGGTTCATCAGATACAAGCGCTGGGCCCTTGCTACTTGCATGAAATGTGGTCCTACGAGTGGTTCATGTCGGTTCTAAGTCGATACATGCATAATCGAGCATACCCAAAGGCCTCCATGATAGAGGGTTACAGTACTGAAAAAGTCATCGAGTGCTATCAAGAGTACCTAAAAGTAAAGAAAGGGATTGGTAAACCCGATTCTCATCACAAGGGTAGGCTGGCTGGGAATGGCACCAGTGGTAGAAAAGTGTTCATCGACCATGATTACAAAGAGGTGAGTCAGGCGCATTACAGTGTCTTGCAGAGTACACAACTGATGCAACCATATATTGATGAACACTTGGCTATCATTATGGCAGAGAGAAATGGTCGTTCGGATGATTGGGTCATAAAATAGCACAAGCAACGACTAACTACATGGTTGAAGGACCAAAACATACTGCCTAAAGAAACCATAGACTCTATTACCATCAGTAGATTGGCGGAGGGGCCATCGAGACAAGTGACATCTTGGAATGCTTATGACATCAATGGGTATACGTACTATACCCACGTAAAGGATAGTAAATATGTAAACCAAAACATCGGCGTTCAAATAGAGGCTCTCGATGGATTGGGATGAAAAATCCAATACTTTGGCATCATTGAAGAGATATGGGAACTTGACTATAGAAGGGATATAACGGTGGCCCTATTTCAATGCCGCTGGATCAAACAACACCAACTGAACGAGATTGGATTGAGAGTTCTAGACCTCGAGAATCTAGGCTACCAAGATGACCCTTGGGTGCTCGCTTCACATGTCGCACAAGTTTTCTATATGTCTGACCCACAAAGTAACCTCCCCCGAAAAAGAAGACAAATCACGTGGTTGCCTTCGGGAAACAACACATTATCGGAGTTGATGGTGTGGACGATGTTGAAGCTTACAATAATTACGATGAGATGCCGCTATTCATAGACTTTCCTAAGAAGATCAGTGTTGTGGAAAAAAACCTACCCAAAGATATATTGCCATGGAAACAAAAAGGTGTCAAGGGGAAAGTCGTTACAGCGGGCTAGCTAGTTGTTGAACGTGGAGTATTTGTGTAAGTGTGTGTAAGACTATATATTTTTGTATGTGTGTGAGACTATATTTATGTATGTGTGTGAGACTACCCTTTGCAACATCCAGATGAATCTATTTCAACATCCACTCTATTATAGCTGAAATTATTTAGTGGTTGAAAATCAGGTTTGAAGCTATCATTTTCTAAAATTCAAAATTTAAACTGTTTAAATTTTGTCAAGTAAAAAGATGACCAAAATAAAAGTTGTAGATAGTGATGTGTTCAACAACTTTTATATTCATCACCTTTACAAGTGAAATCATTTATTGGTTGAAAATCAGGTTTAAAGTTGTCATTTTCTGAAATTCAAAATTTGAATTGTTCAAAATTAACGACAAAGATAGATGACTAAACTAAAATGATAGAGCATGATTTTAGAAAATTTTAGGAAAAAACCATCATATTTGGA